CGCATATTCATCTCCTTGTTTTCTTTTTTAATTTTCAAGGACATGCTTTAAATTGTGAAACGTTGTCTTCAGTACAATAAAATATTTCGAATTGAAAAGCTTTACACCGACATTAAAAACAAAGAATCCACGACGTCTGTAATTCTTAAACCATTTCAGAATATAATGGTGCTTAAGTGCTTTAATATTCAAACAAATTTTAAAGTCATATCATAGTACACCAAACATTATCCATGTGTCACTTTTGTAGCTAACCGTGAGTACATTTATCTGACTGAGTACATTTCACCGCTGGACGTGCTGCCCTATGACTGGAGCTTCTACATGTATCAGGGCTCCCTCACCACGCCCCCCTGTAGCCACGACACCCAGTGGATCGTCATGCGCTGTCCAATCCGGATCTCCAGAGAGGTGCGTTTAAATTTTGGGATTTCAAACACCGATATCACGAATATCTTGGATATTCTGAAGTAATTCTGAAGTATTTTGGAATGACACAAATAGGGATATCGAACAGTATTCATGATCAAAATTCCATAAAACGAGACAAAATAGGAGCAATTACGTTTTATAATAAACATGATGACTTCAACTTTTTCATCGTCAACCTCCCTTACCACCTGGGGTTGACTCAATACGCAAAGTCATGCTCTACATTCGAACAATGCAAAGGGACGGATAATAAACAGTGATCAATCTTCGAAAGAAATCGAAAACTTAAACTGTGATTATTGCAAAAAGCACAGGGTCCAGAAATTCGGAAATAAGCAAACAAGGGCATCTTAAAGAACGGTTGACAGAGGAAGATCTCTCCTCCATCACACCTGATCTCACCCCCAATATTTAGATAGGGTCATGTTCGCTCTACTCCAAATTTGCAGTGTCTCAGTGCACTTTAAAGTTAAATTACTGTTAAAATTTAGTTTTTAGTTGGAACTTATCGAATATACAAGTAGCCGGTAAATCGGAAAATGAAACAGATACGGTAGACAGTATATTTTTATTTCAAGCTCACTGTGATATCGAGTCTCGAGTGACCAGTTGAAACCCACAGCAAATGGTTTTCTTCTCTTGCAGAAATTTTCGACAAAATTCTGCGTCATTGGACTATAAAATTAAGTCTTCTTGTTTGTAATACGATTTATCTGCTGACTGGCTCTTCTCGTCTATTGTCAGTAAATATCCAAACATGAAACAGATTTGACAGACTCTGTTGTGTCTCTGTTTGAGTTTCTTTGGGATATAAATGGACAGAAATTAGACTGGTTTGTCACCATTATTATCAATTAAACTAATGCTAAGTAGTTACCCATTTTAGTTTTAACACATTTGATCGTAGTCGATATACCCAACTGTCGTTTACTGATACAAATAACTATTTCAGGCTTTTGAGATGTATAGATTGGTTGTCTTTTACTAATCCACTATTTCAGGCCTTTGAGATGTATAGATTGGTTGTCTTTTACTAATCCACTATTTCAGGCTTTTGAGATGTATAGATTGGTTGTCTTTTACTAATCCACTATTTCAGGATTTTGAGATCGATGTATAGATTGGTTGTCTTTTACTAATCCACTATTTCAGGCTTTTGAGATGTATAGATTGGTTGTCTTTTACTAATCCACTATTTCAGGCCTTTGAGATGTATAGATTGGTTGTCTTTTACTAATCCACTATTTCAGGTTTTTGAGATGTATAGATTGGTTGTCTTTTACTGATCCACTATTTCAGGCTTTTGAGATGTATAGATTGGTTCAGGACGTACATAACGTACCACTTGTTCAGAATGGTCTTCGACGCCCAACACAGAAGAACCGGGCACCTGTTTACAGAAACTTTCACTGGTCAGATCTAGGACAAGAGACGCAATACTGCCCGGATGAGGAATGAAACAGTACTGTCATACATTGCATCACTCAAAGATACTGAATAAAAGTTAAATTTTGATGATTCTTTTTTAATTGGGGTTTGTCTGCATTTAGAAATTAGCATGTCTTTCCTTGACTGACATCTTTGAGACTAATAGTTGGTTTTAAACAAAATCTGACGACGGAATGTTCCATCCACCTTAATAGACATGGGGCTCATGGTGGGTGTGACCGACTACGAGAGGATGCTCACTCGTCCTAGTCAACTGATTCTACTTCTGGAGACTAGTGGGTCTCGTGTTTTATACCTTGTTCAAAGATTTATAATATTTGTCTGGCATCTTAAGTTCTCTCACTGTTCCTTATCTTCGCTTTTTTTAGATTAAATTAATATAGGGAATCCAACAAGTTCATTTAATTTTGATCGATGGGAAATAAAGTTTCTTTAAATCAATTCCTATCAGTAAGCACCTATGGTAATCCTTTCATAGGTATACTATATTTGTCTCCAAAGAAACACCTGCATTAATTACATGGAATTTTTAACAGCTCAATGTACGTAAACGAGAGAACAACATATACATTTGGGGCAAATTTGGTTTTAGAGGTTTTAACATCCTTCATTCCTATTTTGTTTCAACTGAACTCAAAATTAATACACGTAGTATGTTCCTTTATAAATATACATGCATATACAAGAAAATACTAAGAAAACTGATTATTTACAATTATTGCAATATTTTTCAATTTTTTAAGACATTTCTGACAGGTATATATTTAAAACCAGAAGTCTCTATCGAGACTGAAGCTCTACTGGTTTGTACTTATAGCAAAGGAAGAGAAAAGTAGAAACTTTTCAACAGCAATAAATAGAATAATGATCCTTAATTAATTAAGTCTCTTTATGTTCTTAGTGCAGTCTACTTGCATGCCACATTTATATTATAATCAGACTAAAATTGTGTTTGGAGTAGCATTTTGAAAGAATTTCACAGAAATTTCTATTTTTAGTAACCATGGCAACACCGTTCATCGAAATCAAAAAACGATAAACAGAATTATGTATCTTATTGTAGTCTACTTGTGTGCCAAGTTATATTGAAATCAGACCAAAACTGTAGAAGGAGTAGCATTTTGAAAGAATTTCACAGAAATTTCTATTTTTAGTAACCACGGCAACACCGTTCATCGAAATCAAAAACCGATATACAGAATTGTGTATCTTAGTGTAGTCTACTTGTGTGCCAAGTTATATTGAAATCAGACTAAAACTGTACAAGGAGTAGCATTTTGAAAGAATTTCACAGAAATTTCTATTTTTAGTAACCATGGCAACACTGTTCATCGAAATCAAAAACCGATACACAGAATTGTGTATCATAGTGTAGTCTACTTGTGTGTCAAGTTATATTGAAATCAGACCAAAACTGTAGGAGGAGTAGCATTTTGAAAGAATTTCACAGAAATTTCTATTTTTAGTAACCACGGCAACACTGTTCATCGAAATCAAAAACCGATACACAGAATTATGTATCTTAGTGTAGTCTACTTGTGTGTCAAGTTATATTGAAATCAGACCAAAACTGTAGGAGGAGTAGCATTTTGAAAAATTGTTTACAGACAGACGGACGGACAGACAGACAGACAGACAGACAGACGGACGGACGACGGACGCATTACTATCGCATAAGCTCTTCTGGTCTCTGACCAGTAGAGCTAAAAACAGAGCATAAATCAAAACAAAAATCGTCTAAAATGATGAGTCGTATCTATCGACATAAGGCATAAAACACGTGACACTTTTTATGACCATTCCCCGAGATAAATTAAAGTCTAGCTATAGCTTTTTGTCATACGCACCTGCTTTTTCAATAGAAATGGAACTTGTTAACTTACCTACATTGTCATTTGTTATTAGCAAAATTATTTTATTGAAATACATTTTGATTTAATACCCGTACTCTGAAGTTTATATTTAGAGCTATGATGCTTGAGTTTCTGATATACAAAAATTTAACTAGGAAGGTTTTCGAGACCGTCTCTAACAATGTGTCGGTATTCCACGGGTATTCATTGTCCGTTGATAGTGTGCAAGCAGATCTATTTTGAAGCGCTTTTTTCCCGATCATAACAAAGAGCACACGGAGGGTGTAACCGGTCGACATGGGATGCTCACTCCTCCATGGCACCTGATCCCTATTTTGATGTTTTGGAGGTCCGTGTTTGCTCTGCTCCTATTTCGTATTGTTTATTGGACTTTTGTGCTTGAAAACTGTTCGTTACCTCCAAATATTTCATTCAAAAACTTCTACATGGAAAGAAGAAACCTTTTGTTGAAACCTTCAATTCAACATATATTTATATGTATAGAAGACAACTTATCAATTAGAAAAATCCCTTTCATTTCTAAGCTGATTAGATTTATCTCTTTGATTTCGAATAAAAAGATACTGGAGTTTGACACAACTCTGAAAAAAGTTGAAAAATGCATGTAGCAAATATTACTGAATAAAATCGTAGCATTTTCTAATTATTCATCCATTCATGTCGAGTATGTATCCTTTATAAGTTATAACCATTTATTATTATTACAGATTTTCGGATGTAGTTAAGTTTCGTTATTTTCTTAAATTCTTTTACATACAGATCTGACAGTCATTGTTGAAATAATAAGTCAAAAACCACAAAATATTGTTTTTCAATAAACATTTTTATCTAATATGTTACAAATGGAATTAAAATAGCAGTAAAATTACTAACAATGGCACATAAAGTTATACAAAAATAAACAAACAAACAAACAATGGATTGTTCAAGCATTTTCAAACGTTTTACGTACATTACTGTTAAATATCACAATGCGTTTAACACAGCTTCTACCTATTTTGCATTAATAAGGCTTGTTGTCATTAACCAAAGAAAAAAATTTAATAGATGAGTGTTTCTTTCAAAGTTGATAAACAATAAAATCTCACTAAAACCACAGTGTTACGATCAAACAAGCCAACAACTTTGCTTCAAGATTGCAACAAATTGAGAAAACGTGATATCAACTTTATATATATATATGATAAATGTAATTTATGTTGATTAATTGAGATAAAAATTAATCTAAATCCTTCGAGAGAAAACAAATCTGCGCTCGTGAATATTGAAATTTTGTATTGTAACCTGGACTGCTTTGTGACATGTTTATTAAAATCCCGAGGTCTAGAATATTATTTTTACCTTCAGTTTTCGTGAGCTGTAATATTATTATCAATAGGTTTATCACAAGCTGCAAGTAAAAAAGTAGTCAGCTTTTAAATTTAGCGAAACTCAAAATATTTTTAAACATTTACATTGGATCCGACTTTGACAAAATTTTCTTTATAGCAATCAACACGCAAGACTTATGATGTCAAATGTTCACTGATTCTCTGTAGTTGAAGAGAATATGATACTGATTTTATATACATTTTTATTGGACAAAATAAAAAGAGCAAAGGGTTTCATGGATTAAGGCACACAATAAGCATAGTGTATAATACATCCTTAGAGATCTGCCAGCATCATATAAGCTTAGCTATGTAACAGTAGGAAAGCTTCAACTGTATACATGATGTTAATGCCCATTGTCACAACCTTTAAAAACTCCCGACAAAACTAACTTGTGTTGACATCATCGCAAAACCAATTTTTTAAAAATACTATATTTCAGCCTAATACAATCCCAGGTACACGACGTCGTGATAACACGGGCCTAAACAGAAGGGGCCTCCGCCTACTGACTATGATCCGCCTCCTGTGTTTCCTCCTCCTGGGTATCACGACCTTTCTGGCAAGGCTTTTAATGTGGAGTCTGTTTCTGAAGAGATGCTGCAGTGTGGGGTTATACGGGTAGATCCGCCTCAGCCGGCGCATCGGTCGCGGCATGCTTCTCATTACCGGTCTCCGATGACCTGGAAAGTTGGTTCCAAACACATCGATGTGATACCCCAGCTCGTGACCCCCTCCTAAAACCTGGTTACAGGTCATCCGAGGGTTTCTTTATAGAAAAAAAAGATTTGAAAATTGTTAATTTTATTTTAAGTTTTACCTAGTCACATCCAGAAAGCAGCTGAATTTTTAAAAAATGAAGTCGTTATTGAGTTATTTAAAAAGAAAATTTTATTGTGTGTATATAGACAATTATTTATATGAGCATTTTTCATAAACTAAATGACATAATATTTATTTATATTTAGAAATAAGGTAAATATATCTTTGGGTTAGTTCTTACTTTTTGCTGGCGCGGATCATAATATTTGGCTGGATGTCCATTATGTGGCCCTCCTCTGCTGTGGAACATATAACCTTAGCCAGACTTACTTTTTTCAACTCTTTCAATTGCTCTGTAAAATAATTACTTAACATGAATATAATAAGCATGTACTATCTGGGAATAGATATCAATGGTGAAGATAATAATACATGTACGTAAAAAGTATCATCAGAATGAAAAAAAGCAAGCATATCTTTTCTTGATATTGCTGAATGCAACACTATATGGACATTGTTGAAATATTGAGGAATTACCTTTATTTACGCCATTTAAACCATTTTCATTCCATCTCGATTTTAATTTTGTAATACATTAATATATCACAAGATACCTATTTAAAATTTTTAATCAAAATATAACCTTTTCAAAATAAAATGACTACATACTTCCCCGTTAATCAAAATACTAGAGTGTCTGAATCTATAACATGTATTAATACAGTTCTTTTCGAAATGTTTTCAGACATATCTTTTGCAATGTATAAGTATAAAAGGAATATACATGTACCAGTTGAAAATCCGTAGATAGGATGTGGATTCTCATACCAGTATCTGTCTCCAACCTTTAGCTGTTTAAACTGGTAAGCCAGGATACACGCAAAAGTAGGACCGATTAACGCGCCGCGGAGGCGTCTCTCCGACAAACCGCCAGCAAAAAGATCAATGTCGTCCGGGTGCCTAGAGTATACGTCACAAAATTACAACATGGATTCAATGCTTAATGCAAGCACTTTTTAAAATGTCATAAAAAGTTTGCAAAAAAGGAAGAAAGGAAAAAAGTACCTGTAAATAGCTCGGAGTTTTGCTGCGTCTCTTCCATCGTGATCTACAAGTCCTAATCTCCAAGTTCCAAAATGGCGAACTCGAGGAAGTCCACACCACTCTCTATACTCATTGTATCCGGGCAGTCCGTGATCTCTCCCTCTTTGAATATTCATAGCAGGGAGGTCAAAGCTTAGTGTGGCTCCACCTAGTGAAGACGACTCTGCCTGAAACAGTTTATTACGAATGGCATCTACAACGTAACCATCTGGCTGTGACGCCCCTGTTCTTGCCTGCCAGTTCGTCACATACTCATGTCCATAGCCTTTTCCAGTCAAGGTCATTCGAGGTCGGTCAAAGTGTTTATGCAATTGATCTAGATAAACAATATCTCCATTGTCTGACCCGACTACCTGTCTAACCAAAGAATGACCGAATCTGAATACAGCAGTGGAAAATGCATTGATGATCCTTGGGTCTGCTGAATCATTGTACACACGGTCATGTGCCGGCTTACTTTTCAGACTGTACATTTTCATTATTCTCTTATTCAGTACTATGGGGAGGAATTCGTTGTATGTAATGTGCTGTAACTCTGCAATAACCATACGTTTGGCCTCTTGGAACAAGAGCTCATCATCTGTAACACCGAAATTCTCCCGGAGTAAAGTCGCTATGAGATTATGACGGCGGACGAAGGCGGTGTGTAAGACAGTGAGTAGCGGGTTCTCTGCTTGTCTGTGGTCACCTGCAAGAAAAGCAAAAAAAACCAAAATGATTTCAACTTTATAGCTTTTCTATTTTAAATAATTATAGAAAGGTATGTCGATGTAAATATACCTGAGTCGAAGCAGTGCTGTGTTTCCGGTGATTGTCTGTCCTCGTCCCGTATGTTACAGCTGTCCTCTTCACTCTTTGGAAGCATTCCATTGGTGTCAGGAAAATCCTCACTCACCTTCAGGAAACCTGAGAGGCATTGATCATTACAATTTATATATTTTGAATACCAGGTCGGGTCCCGTCAAATTTAATATTCATATTTCAGATGCTAGTAATTATCAATCTATTTTACCCATTTCACCAATCCGTAACGAATCTTCTTTTGCACTATTGAATCCGTATATCATGGTGCCATCTATAAAGGACGATCTCTGGTTTTGTTGCTGGCGAATTCCTACAAATATAATCAAGCATACATTGTAAAAGTAATATAAAATATAACCAGAACTATTTTTAAACAAAACGTTTTTGTTTCCCTTTTATACTAATTTAATTATCACAATCAGATTAAAAACTCTGGACTGGGATCCCTGATCCAGGGACCTTAAATTCCACGATCTTGGAAAAGGTACCCTTGCTCTTTAAAACTTTGCACTTACTTTATCTATTAAATAAAAAAGGGGAGAGAAGAAACATATATGGTTACTTCTTCCCGATTTCATGGAAAATGGACCTAAGAAAGACAGAGACCATGAAATTCACATTTTAATACATTATGGCTATAAATGTTATATTTCAAAATTGGTTCAGCGATTACAGAGAAGAAAGAGCTTTGAATGTTCACATTGTAAGGAGCGATTCAAGAAAAATGACGCCAAAACCAGGAAGCAATAAGTAAGCAATGGGCGATTAAAGTATCATGAAAAAAGGCACACCTGAGGAACAGTCAAGCGGGGGTGCTATGTCAGCTCGTACCACATGAATACACTTTCTGGTAGGGTCAGTAAAGTAGGGATCATTTGATGACACGGGAATGCTGAAACACTCAAACCTGGAATAAAATTCTTAGTGTTATCAACCAAGTTTTCTCAATGGAGTTACTGTACCTTTTAATAGGAAATCTTTTACCTTTCTGGGTTTGAGCAGCAGTCTTCAATCAAATTTCCATTTTCATCTAAAAAAAAAAAAGATGAGAAGATATAATGATGAGGACCCAAAGGAATGACATTCTTTTTTTACAAGCACACTATTTAGAAATGTGAAACTTTTTGTTTTATCAAAGGTTATAAAGTTACCTTCCATTAAAGGTGTGCTAGTAAAATCATGGTCAAGAAATTGCCCGAAGGAATAGACAAACGGCGTAATGACGGCGTTAACACTTGTCGCACGTTCCTGGTGGACGGCATTACTGACGTCACGTGCAGACGGTAAGCTGCCTCCCAGGACACTTCTGGTTCTTGGTGCTTCGATACCTGTAAAATAATTGCTTAAGTACAATTATTAAGATTGACAGGAACTTAATCATATGTATTTTTCTAATGTTTTCTAGCAAGCACTTTTTTCATTACTTTTCGAAAGTGATACAGTCAAGGACACCAATCATCCAATCGTTGATGACCTACCATCTTCATACTTTGAGGGTACAATTCGACGGAAGGGTGTGAAGGACTTCCCATACAGGGGCGCTCTAAGGTTGTTACAGGCCCCGCAGGCGGAGCGGTACTTCTGGGTGGGGTCACAGCGAGGCTGCTGATAGCAGAAGGGAGAAAACTCTCGCCGCATCATCTCTTGATAAGAGGGATCATCCATTATTTCCCGGACGTCTTCGATGCTCCGTGCGTTCATCCTGTGGTGTTCAAATAGCTTCATCTTAGTCATTAAACAAATTATATATGAACATGTGATGATTATTGACTAATAGTATGAGCGATTAGTGTAAAGTATGGAGTATTAACTCATTACACAAGTGTGTGCATTGTCAAATAGAAGTCTTTCTTACATTTCTGCTGATCTTTTACTCATTGTTGCCAACACATGAGCACGGTCACTGAGCAAGTTCACCATTTCGCCATCATTTTGGCGGGAAAAACTATAATGGAATTTCATTGGAGTATCTCTTTCCATAATATACTGGTCATTTCCAGTGCTTCGCGTTTCTGTAAGTATATGGAAAATGGGGGTTATTGTGCAGCGTAAAAGATATGAAAAAAGGCAAAAAGTCTTCCTATTGATAAAAAAGAAATAATTTTCTTTCATAGAAAAAGCTATTATGTTAGCAAATACAACATATCACTGGAGCGTATTTCAGTCCGTTTGTTAGGCCTTTGTTATACTAACTTTCAGAACGGAATATTTCGTTACGTATATACAGTGGTCTCCCGATGAATGTAATTCATTTAAAATTTCTTCTATATTACTTTATATGTAATATGAAAAGCAAGTTCATTATTGTGTAATTTTTAAATCATGACTTCAAACAGAATATAATTGGATATCACCCTACCTATAGGAACTTTATCAGGTGTGCCCAGGCCTGACATTTCTTCTTGCATCATGTCGGACATCATTCCTCGCATTGTAGGTGAACCCATCTCTCTCCTCATACCAGAATCCATTGTCCGGGGTCTGTCAGGCATCGATCTGCTTGAGCTCATCATATTGGATTCTGAAAGCATACTTCTTCTTTCCGGTCTTGCTTGCATATCAGACGTCGTTTCCGTCCTCACGTTCATCATGCCCATGTCAGACATGCTGGTTCTCGTATTTGTCATCATACCAGATTCAGACATCATGTTTCTTCTGTCCATATCAGACATCATTGCCGATCTTGATTGCATATCAGACATCATATCCGGTCTTGATTGCATATCAGATGTCATTTCCGTCCTCATGTTCATTTCAGGTCTCCTATTTGCCATCAAACTAGATAAAGACATCATGTTTCTTCTATCCATATCAGACATCATTTCCGGTCTCGTTCGCATATCAGACGTCATTTCAGTTCTCGTGTCCATACCTGACATTGAAGGTCTCATTCTATTTCCCATCATGCTGGAGTCAGACATGATATTTCTTCCGTCCATTCCTGACATCATTTCCGGTATCGACCGAACGTCAGATGTCATTTCCGGTTTCATGTCCATCCTAATCTCTTCATAATCCTGGTCCGTTCCCATTCCATACAACACACGCCTTGTTCCCATATTACTCTGGCTGTATGAAGAGCCAATAGCTAGGAGAAGGCAGTAGATAATAAAGGGGTCACTCATCCTATAATCAAAAAACATATTTTTACCCAATTCAAATACAAATACGTATTGGTGCAAACACAATTACAATAATTGGCAAAGGCACAACATGTAAGAATCATCAATTATACCCATGCATGCACTTAATATTCTAATATAGAATATGAAGTTATATATCAATTATACTATCATTTGTACTTTATGTAATACAATCATTTCTAGATAGATTTCATTACGCATCATATTTACATCGAAATTTTTTTTTGTACTAATGCAAAAAAAAAAAAAATTGGGAATGATAAATATGATGGTTGTTTTTATCAATGTTTGCCGCAAGTTACTTGTAATTTCCAGTACGATGTTTTACTCAGAAACTATATAGGTAAAAACAGGTTTAGAACCAATAGTTTCAGAGACTAGTATCAAAGATTTTGCAAATGCATGACACTTCTTAACATCAGTCTCTTTAAAGCAGAAACAATTCTTAATTGTTTAAATTAACCAGAAAAATACTCGATCAAACATTCATTTTAACATTATGAAAGCTGTAGATTAGAAAGGAATAACTCTGAACTTTAATTCGCGCATACTCCTACGTATATTACTATGCATTTCATACAAAAAAAAATTATTTGTGGCTGCATTATTTTTTGATTTTCCCTAAACTTTGTAATTCCTTACCTGTGTGTGTCCAGATGTAGAATCTATAGAGGTCACGTTTGAGTGAGAATTTAAACTTAAACATTCTCCCCGCCCTCTGTAAAAACTGTCCATCAATCTAAGCCTCGAAGACTCCCAGTAAATCAGAAAAACTGTCAATAGAATCCACGTGTACGGTAAATAAGGATGTTCTAATCAAAATCAAAATGTCAATTATATATATTGATTTCATTTCATTTTTAGTGATATTGAAATCAATTGTCTTTGATAACGAAAATTATGTAAAGTGATACAAATTTTTAAATCTGTTTTAAATAAAAACGTCAAATGAATTATGAATAACAAAAATTTCAAAAGTTTCTATAAATCATTATTCGAAATCTTAATTCTAAATTACAGCAAGATTTCCTGACACTAATATTTGCATTAAGACTAAAAAATGATTTAGTTGAACTTTACAACTCTATGCCACTGCAGTATGCAATGATTTATTGCTTCTTTTTTTCTAAGAAAATTCTACAGTCACCAATTATACAACCTTAATTAAGCGTATAGTACATGGATTCATTATATATAATTAAAAATAATACCGTATCACTAGCTACGCATGAATTAGATCTCCTTTAATTAAAAAAATGTCTTTCAAATAGAGAATATACAACACATCTTCACCTTTTATTGGTAATACCATGCAGCTCATACATGTACATGTATCTAAATCCAAATTTATAATGCACCTTATTTTAGAAATAGGTACATGACATTTTAGTTGAATATTTGACTTCTTAGCTACCAACATAGGTCGTGATATATGTTTTCTCGATATGCAAAATAAGAACATATAAACATATCTATTGCGTCTTAACAGAAATCATGGTATGACACAGGTTCTTTTAACTTTGTTTCACAAACATCTACTTAATTTGAATGCTAAAAGCTTTGTACCCTTGTATACTTGATGTAAGTTCCCCCTTCCCACAAAGGCGCACATGACGTTTTTAATTATCCCCCATGACAATTCTTTTAAAAGCGGGAGGGTATAATATAAAAAATATGTAATCGTTATGTCCGTCTAAAAAAATAAATCTATAAACAACACAAATCTAGCTGTACGTCCTTCTGTTATGCTTTTGGGTTCCCATCTCTTATCCGCAACTCCTCTCATACCACTGAATGAAATTTGATGAAACTTTTACAGAATCTTTATAACATATTGCCATTGTGCACCTCCTATTTTACTTTTTGATCCGACACATATTTTGGGTTTCCCATAGCAAAACATGGGCACTGCCATTATATTCATGTGGGAGGCGGGGGTTTCATTTAGTGAGCTCATTGCTCACAGTACCTCTAGTTAACATCTCTTTTCATAAATAAGAATATCCCCTATTCTATAATATCCCTCCCAAGTAAGGAACTCTGCTGACTGAAAAAATTACTCTAATTTTTAAATTTCATGTTTAAAATTCAAGGGGTTATTATTTAGTGAAAAATTCTCGGGGATATTTTTAATATACAATCAATCACTCATCTCGTTTGTCATGACAATTTAGTCGTTTAAAATTGGTCTTTATTGTCTATAGTCAGTAAAACATCCAAATAAGAAAAAGATGTTGCCGTCCGTCCGTGTCTTTACGACCGTCCGTCCGTCTAAATTACGCTTTGGGGTACCCATCTCTTATCCCGCAACTCCTCCTATACCACTGAATGAAATTTGATGACACTTTCACAGAATCTTTATTACATTTTGCCATTGTGCACCTCCTATTTTACTTTTTATACAAAAACATATAACAGACACGCGCATAAATTCTGCGCAGTTTCCCTATTTTTGCATAACATGGACACTGCCATTTATACTGTTGCATATGCTGGAGGGCGTGGCTTCATTATTCAGCGTGTAATAGTGTTTTTAAACAAATGTTTCTCGACCTATCAGATTCAACTAATTTGCATAAAAGTTTAATATAATTCAATGATAAACGTGATGACTTTTCTTCCCAACTTCTCATATTTATAACCTTAGTATATACATGTTATATATCTTAATTACACCTGCATAAAGGGTTTAATTTTCTATTTCTTTTCAAAAATTTTTATATCCATGACAATTCTTTTAAAGCACACTTAATTACGATGTCTTCAAATATCAAATCCCGGTAAAAAAAAATATGTAAAAGGTGAAGATAACCATTAATCATAACTCGATCTAAGACATATCTATCAGCAATGGCAGCTGATCTCGTCTCTGGTTTTAGGACATACGTGGTTGCTCTGATTTGTAATGTTTAAATAGACTTTTGAGTTTGAATTCTGTTTGTTATCCCCATGCCATATTTATATCCACGTTTGAAAAGTGGGAAGGTATATAGTGACCGGGATGTCCATCCGCCCCTACCTCTGTTACGCTTTGGGGCACCAATCTCTTGTCCGCAATTCCTTTTAAACCACTAAAAGAAATTTAATGATACTTTAGCAGAAGCTTTGTTAGATAGTGCAGTTAAACCCCTGTCACATCCGGACTGTGTCCTCATGGCGATCACACGGCGTCCATAAAAAATGCAAAACGCCGAGGTGAACGCAAGAGTTTACTACAACGCTTTGACAACGCGGCGAAATCTCCACTGAACATGGTAGGGTCGCGTAGGATCTCCTAGAATGCCAGGCCAGGGGACGGCGAGCACTTTCGGCCCTGTCACACTAAGCTGCATACACACGGAGTCATTACGGCGTTGTTAATTTTTTTGAAATCCCCGAGGAATCGCAGGGAAATTGCACAAATTTCTGTAAAATTTTTAAAATATGAAAATGTCACGGATTTCCTAAGGCGACGCGTTTCTTCGATGTGTCTGCGGCGAGCTACTGCGTTTTTCCGGAGATCTGTTGGCGATTCACTGCGCTTCCGCGCAGTTTTCACGGCGTGTTAGAAGTTTTCACCTTGCATTCACGGCTTTTTCACTGCATTGGCTGTGTTCACATTACGTTTACAATGCGTTATTCAACCATGGATATATATTAAGAAGGGGTGTAAAACATTTTTGTTTTAAGATTCAAGTTACATGATGAAAAGACTTCTACTCATCAACATGACAAGAAATATTCATTTTTAAAAATGATCTCACCGCGCTGCTACGACGATCATACTACGCTTCTAATGCGTTCTTATCAGACGGTGATCACACGGCGCGTACTTTGTGCATGCTCAAAGTGATCGCCGTCCCCTGACGTTCTAGGAAACCCTACGCGACCCTACCACATTCAAAGGAGATCTCGCTGTGTTGTCAAGGCGCTGTAGGAGACTCTTTTAGCGCTCATCTCGCCGTTTTGCATTTTTTATTGACGCCGTGCGATCGCCGTGAGGTCGCAGTCCCGGTGTGACAGGGGTTTTAGGGCATGCACAAATTTCGCGCCGTGTGATCGCCGTCTGATAAGAACGCATTAGAGGCGTAGTATTATCGCCGTAGCAGCGCGGTAAAATCTCCAGCAACGCAATAGGAACTCCGTACTCGCCGTGAAGACGCAGATGATCAAAGCATGAAAGCAGTGATAAAAGACATAGCTTCCACGGAGACCTCGCGGAGTCTTTGGAGATGTCACTGCGTTTCTATCGCTCTTTTATGGCGCTTATAATAAGATGAATCGTCTTGTTATTTTTTTTAGCTGCTATTACACAGCGACACCATGGCGTTGTCACTGCGATTATTGTGCTCTCTCGGCGTATCTACAGCGTCCGTTGGCGATCACAGTGCACTCTCACTGAGTTGTTGGAGACTTGGAGCATTATCAGCCTGCTCAAGAAGCAAGAGAAGCTAGTTGCCTCATATTTGATCAGCAATAATACTATGCACTCCTGACCAGGAGCATGGAAGTAAAATTGGGAAGTAAAATATTATAGCAGAACTTGTTCTGTTGTTTCAGTGGAGTTGTTGTGAAATTATTAAATTTTATAGCAACTTTTCAGTGTGTTTATATTTTTTGTACATTCATAATGAGATCACAGGAAAGATTATAACACTTCTGAATTGATAAAATTAAAAAAAGAATGATTTTAAAAATAAAACTATCAATAATTTAGTCCTATATTAGAGGTACTGTGAGCAATGAGCTCACTAAATGATACCCCCGCCTCCCGTACGAATATAATGGCAGTGTCCATGTTTTGCTGTGTGAAAACTTATTCATTATAATAGGTGGTGCACAATCTATGTAATTAAAATGAAAGTTTCATCAAATTTCATTCAATGGTATGAGAGGAATTGCGGATAAGAGATGGATA